CTTTCTGTGCTCTATGTTACACTCCATGGTTGAATTTAATGTATCACTGTGGACAGTGTGAAACAAAATATGATTTTTAATCAAACACAATCCTTTTTTTTTTAGTTTATATGGTTGTGTTTAAATGCCTTGTCCTTGTCTTACGTACTGACTGTTCATAAAGAAGGGTGTGGTGGAGGTAGAGGGGGAGGCAGGGTGGGGCATAGACAGGGGCTGCATCTGCGTCACCATGGGTACCAGAAGGGAGATAGTAAATCAATTCTGGGTGCTTTCTATAACACTGCCTTTGTTGCTAGGCACAATACTGAGCCAATCACTGTCCATTTCAGCCACAGTGACCAATCAGATTTCTGTGCTACCTTTGCTGTTACCAAAGCCTGTTGAAGCTCCTGTTTATTGACAGCTTTGATTGATGCTCTGTTTTTGCAAAGTAATCCATGGCTGTTTTTCTGCTTGCACAACCAGTTGCTGAATTACACATTTTAAAATTTGAGTCACAATGCTGAACTATATGTGAATGGAATTCATGCTGTCTCTCATACCTTTTATATTTCTCACTCTCACACCTCTCTCACACAAACCACACAAACCACACAGAGCCTGATCAGCCCTTCATGTATTTGAACTCCAGACTGCAATGTTGCCATTCATGCTGTGCAGATGCTTGTTACTAATTAGATACAGTATCACAGATTCAATAACACATCGTCTTTGATCAGCCCTGCTCTGCACATTAGTGATCATTTCCTAACTGATCAAACTTATGGAGGTTCTTACACTAAATGAAAACATTGCTAGTGTAAATAAATTGTTGAATACATTAAAACATAAAATGAAGAGTGAAGGTTTTTTTTACATTTTAAAGCAAAATACACTATATGGAAAATGTTTTCTAAATACTAAATAGTATATGGGATCCTTAATCCTTAGGGATTAATAAAGTATGATGATTATGATTATGATTATGTTTAATATTTACTTAGTTGATAGGTCACTATACTGTTTTATTTCCCCAGCAAGTCTGTGATAAATCATGACACACAATAATCACACTGTAGCAGTGGCAGGATGTTGCTCCTGTATGTTGTTTTACAGTAGAGTAACTAATTATGTGATTTTTGGGCATTGTGCCATTGTTTTCCAAATGAGTGAACACTGTGTTCTATTGTGTTGGTGTGCCTCTCAGGGCTGTGTGCATGCGTATGTTTGGGCTTGCTCCATATTGCTGTGTCCCGGTTTTGATCTTGCTCATGTTTCCGCGGACCCGCCCCTGTCCTACTTAGTCCAGAAACCAGTGAAGGCAGGCACAGATTTGGAAATAAATGATTAAGTGGTAGTTGGTTTTAAAACTAGGAGTGATTCATCTTTTCTTGCATCCTTCCTCTCTTTATTATATTAGTCATAGATTATTTCACAAATTGTGTAAGTAGGTAAACAGCTGATTGCATGCCCAGCTTTCCAGTACATAGATGTTATTACAGTTATGCTGATATGCACATAATTGTATGCACAGTTCTCTAGTAAGTGGATATTATTCTATATAGTGAATTTACATCTGCATATGTCAGAGCTAAAATGCATATAAGATCATTGAAAAGTAATTTTTCCATTATTGTATTATATTACTCTATTGCAATAGTCAAGTGCTGGATAATTCATATCACACCTGCTTTTCTGACAATAAGCAGACACTGCATATTAAATGGGCCCAGTGCATAAAGTGCACAAAGTGAAAAGGATTTCAAAAGTAAAAAGCATAATATAGTAGTACGTATACACAAGGAGTAGGTTGCCCTCTTGTGTCATGATGAGATACATGCCACATAAAACCCCCACTATGACATTAGTATCTCATCATATGAAAAGGATGTAATGTGCAAATGGCAGGAGGGACTATGTGTGTGTGTTTGAGGTCTCCAGAGGCCTGGCACCAAGAAGGTAGGATGTGCATGGCTGAATGCAAAGGTCAGGCTCTCTGAGGGTTTGTGGGGGGTGGAAAGAGAAGCAGAAACTGCTGTAAAAGTGCTGTGACAGTGAATGTGCCGCTGCAGTGCTACATTACCAATTACAACTGCAGCCCTGCACAGTCTGGTGAGGTATGCGCAAGAGTATGGTTTGTGTGTGCTTGAGTGAGTTTGTGTGTGTGTGTGTGTGTGTGTGTG